GTATAGGGAAGCCATCTTCTAGGAAGTGAAGTCAGGACAACTCGTCAGCACTGTATTCGATGAACGAATGACTCAACTGCAGACAATCATTCGTATTTAAACGAGCCAGAGAGGTATGTGGATTGAAATGATAAGATATGTGTCAACCAATCAAGCCCGCCAAAAACATTTCACCAATCAGCATCAAGCCCGCCAAAAACATTTGACCAATCAGCATCGTGCCCGCCAAAATCATATCTCATTATAAAGATTCCTTACATGATACCGCCACCTTGGTGAATTGATACAGTATGGAAAGAAGATCACAGTCAAACGTGTGCATGTTCTGGATCACATGGTCAAGTGAATAGGTTTCCCAGCAATAAGCATCAATCAATGATGTCATAAGAGATATATCAGATTGAGATAAAAGCAGCAAATTCGAACGCAACGTGGACAATTGCAATGAAGACACCATCCTAGTCGACTCCATGAGATGCAGTACGTATAGGAGTGGAAAATGCTGAGGAAGAGGTTTCATGATTCGACTGAACCTCAACCAGGCTACATTGCTATGAGGTAAGTAGGAATACAGTTTACGTAATGCATCCACATTCGTATCGTATACTATACAGGATAATGCTATAGCATAATTTATACTCTTGTACAAACAGGACTTCTTCATGGCACGTATCTGCTCTCGAAGAGGGTGTACACGAAGCTGATCGGATAAGAGTTCAGTTTTCGAAAGAAAATGCAAAAGATGACGATCCACACCACATAACCGCTCATGCGCAGCGTAAGGCTTCTTCATCAAACTACATCTCTGATGCACATCAACTTCAGGTAAGTAAACCACATCCATGACAAGTCCACAAGAAGAACATACGTATCTTCCTTCATGAACAACATGATTAAGATGATGACACTGCTTTTCCTTCCCTTCTTGCTCTTCTTCTTCTTCTCCTCCTTCTTGTTCTTCTTCTTCTTCTTGTTCTTCTTCTTCTTCACGAAGTCTCTTTTCACGTACATAGGCACGTAAGATCTCTAATTCAGAATCCATCTTCACCCCACACCATCATCTTCATAGTGAAACATTATCCATCAATATATCTACTTTTATACCCACTCCTATCCGGGGATAATAGCAAAATACTCCTGAAAAAATAAATAAAAAATTAAGATTAAGATGATGACACTGCTTTTCCTTCCCTTCTTGCTCTTCTTCTTCTTCTCCTCCTTCTTGTTCTTCTTCTTCTTCTTGTTCTTCTTCTTCTTCACGAAGTCTCTTTTCACGTACATAGGCACGTAAGATCTCTAATTCAGAATCCATCTTCACCCCACACCATCATCTTCATAGTGAAACATTATCCATCAATATATCTACTTTTATACCCACTCCTATCCGGGGATAATAGCAAAATACTCCTGAAAAAATAAATAAAAAATGAACAGAATAAAGATTAACAATGATGATAAGTGTGCCTTATTCAACCCAAAGGTCAAAGGTCAAACCCTGGGGGAGTCCCGGGGTCAGACCAAGCACGACCGACACAGTGTGCCTTATTTGGCCCAAAGGTCAAAGCAATAGAAGAAAGGCATTCACATCTCAATCTGATATCATAGTCGAAAGATTCCAAACCCGAACAAAAAAGACTCACCATGACGGGGGCGTCTTTCCGCTTTCGAAACACATCGTGTTCTCCAAGATCGTCACCTCCCCGTGGCGTGACCCCTTGGTCTTGTTTGAGACGTCTAGACGTAGCCTTGTTTACAAAGGTCATCGCGGCGTGAACTTTGACCTCGAGGTGAAGTAGTCTCAACCTGCAGTTTCATTATCGACTCCTTCTTGCAGTGTGAAGAAGCTAAAATGGCGTGGACATTTTCTGAGACGTGCAGAGCAGAGAAATGGTATTTATTTTCATGCGATAATGAAGAGTTCTCAATCCGTCGCCTCAGTGCTAGCAAGACAACCAGGGATCTTGACCCGATGATAGCACATCCCAGAAGATTCGATATGTCACCACTCACTGCTGCTGAGTATATTATCTGCAGGGTCACCAGTCTGATCTTGAATGTGAAGAATAGGAAACAGCACCTTCCTAAAATCGTCATCGGTGGTGTTGAGGACTACGGAACTATTAGTGAGACTGATGATGGTGTCATACTGCGAAGGTGGACTGATGGTAGACACTCATTCTACAAGCTTAGTGACATGCGTGACGAACCGTGCTCTCAACACATCATCGACCTCTTCGCTGATGCAACCTATTTGGATTCCAGCGACGTAATGCAACTTGTCAAGGAGGTGAACGAAAAATGAAGTCTCTCGAGTTGATCGTGTGCGTGTACGACGTAGTACCAAGGCCGTTCAACTCCGTGCCGTTGCAACAAGAGTAACGCGGATTCGTGTGCGAGTTGGTACGATCGACATCGGCGACGATGGATTTATCTCCAAATTACCCGAGTCGACTGTTGACACGATGGCGGTGCAAAGGAGGTCGTCGACTGACAGTTCCATTGCTGACTGGGTGGAACCATTGGTGCACATCAGAGCGTCCGACAACTCCACCTCGTACTGCGTGTCACGGAAGAGATCATGGGTGAATCCATCCTCACACGTATTCGAAGAGTAAACTTTGTGGTCTCTCATCCAATACCAGCTTGATGAAATCAGGACAACAAGAACTGAATTGTACTACCTTTCTCCTCCACTCCATTGCGATATTCACTGTTCGTTCCATTATTCTTTGTAATGACATGTATCGTATCTATCAAGAACTGACCTTTCTGACGTGTGTGCGAGCAGGACCATTTTTGAAAAATTGCATGGGGAGGTGGGGTAGGTCACGGAAAAAACTTCATGATAAACACCATATTCAACATTCTACTTTTTATACCCACTCCCATCCGGGGCAAGGTGGCCCAAAAAAGTGAGATTCAAACCCACATGTGCACAACACATATTTTCAATAATACCCCATTTTTTTGAGGTAGGGGCACCCCCTGGCACATATTTTTATCCGCAAAAAAACCGGGCCAAAAATAATTTTCACCGCAAAAATGGGGTACTATTAGTACCCCATTTTTCAATAATACCCCATTTTTTGGGACCCGGGCGCCCCCTGGCCCAGAACCCGCTCGTCGCTTCCTACTCATCAAGCCCTGAGCCAGCTCCATAGGAATGGCATGGTCATGAAGATGCGTGATGCTGTGTATCTTATTCGCATCAGAATAATAACCTGGTTGTTTCGGCTACACACTCCGGTAGCAACAGATACTCTGCATAATGCAGCTTGTACAGTAGTCCTCACTAAAGTAGAAAGCAGTTTAGGAGGGACTCTAGTGAGGAGTGTACGAGGATAGCCTATTAGTGTTCTACATAATCATTTGCATATTTAACATGTTACATGTAATTATCATGAACGCCGAGAGTGGTAAAACCGGGTACGGCCATCACCAGCGGCCCTGTCCTGAGTGCCATGCTGTGCTTAGTGCTGATGTAGTGCAAGATATATAAGCTGCATCATGGTTGTCGTTTGTTGTGGTTCAATTACTTGAAGTATTTCAGTATGGTCTTTACGCATGCAAGTGTGTGCTTTTCAGCAGGATCGTCGAAAGACTACATTGTGCGTGGCCTAAATCTGCAGTAACACTAGTAATACAAAAAACCCATGCCTATGTGTCTACACGTAAGGCCTCAGACAGATGGGGAATCTTGCATCTCTGACATTTAAAATCTCTACACAATGTCCTGTTTCTACATACATTTCGAAAGCATGGATTTCAAAAAATGTTCATTGGATGCATGTCTGATTTGTACTTGCTAACATCCAGAACGAAGCATGCACGGATCCCTCCTATGGCGGACGAAACCGGGGTCTTCGTTAGACATTGAGGCAGGAGAACACACTTCCACTCGTCCTGCATTATCAGCAAACACTTGCAATTGACGTCCAAGTACGCCACGCAAATCGACTTGGGCACGAAAACGATAATCTGGGCGGCAATGAAAATATAACTACGACGTAGGAAAAGGACAAACCTTTCAATGAAAATTGGCTTGAAGGCTGCCAAAAATTCTGCACCCCTTAGGAGGAAGCCTCGAATGTGAGCCAATTCTGATAAACGCCAATGGCCGGCACGACGAGGAAGAACGAAACGAAAAAGATCGTAACTTCACTTTCCCATTGCGCATTTTGACGATCAAAATATCTGCTTGCGCAGCTTGAAGGCAGGAAGGTGAATTCGCTTAGACTTCGCGAATCCAATGTAGAAAACGGCTGGAATCGACAGAAACATAGGCGAAACCTTGCCGAATATTTCCAGAGATTTGAAAAAGGCAGCAAGGTCGCGTACGACAGCATCATGGATCACTGGGGCGACGGGAAAATGTCGTACCGTACATAATGTCGCTGGATTATGCATGCATAACAGCCGTGAGTACACTACACAGTCAGTGCAACAAGTGTATGAAAGCCCCGGCCTGGAGCAAAAAAAAAAAAGAAAAAAAGTACGAATAATCCAAAAAAATTAATTCAGCCAGCACTCTTGACAACCCTACCCCTTTTTGCCCGAGGACGGATTTTTTAATTTTTCGAAAAATACAGACGACTCCTTACCTGTTCATTGGTTGAGGGAAAGATGCAAACGGGAAAACGTCTGAAGAAAAAATTGACTGGCGCCACCAGGACTCGAGCCAGGGGCCTTCACTTGAGGGCAGCGGTGCTCTAACCCTTCTTTACCGTTGAGGTTCAGTGTAAAAACGTGTGACTAACTGTACTGTTTACAATGCGGCCGTGTGTGTGTGTGTGTGTGTGTGTATGTGTGTGTGTGTGTGTGTGTGCGTGTGTGTGTGTGTGTGCGTGTGTGTGTGTGCGTGTGTGTGTGTGTGTGCGTGTGTGTGTGTGTGTGCGTGTGTGTGTGTGTGTGTGCGTGTGCGTGTGTGTGTGCGTGTGTGTGTGTGTGTGTGTGTGTGTGCGTATGTGCGTGTGTGTGCGTGTGTTTGTTGTGCACTGCAGGTTTTCTGGCTGATTCCTCCGACCCCAATCAATCTTCAGATCTAAGAGCAGTGGGTGTTGTCGGGTAAACAGCAGGATATATTCCTGGGTGACATGGTCGAGAAGTGTGCCCGCGTCGAATTGAAACCAGGCTTGACTTTTGTCATTCCTACTGGTGAGTGAGATTGTGTAAGTGTGTGTATGTATGTATGTATGTATGTACACTGTTGTGAATTCCAGCAGAAATCCAAGAGAGCTCGATACCGGGAAGGTAGAGCCGTGACACACTAGTCAGAACAACAGATGGCTTGATCAGTCACAACTTGAAAAGTTTCATGCCATTTCAGGCACTCATCAGGTGATATGAACATCAAGAAAAAGTGGGTTATTTTTCTTGATGTTCATATCACCTGATGAGTGCCTGAGATGGCATGAAACTTTAAGTTGTGACTGATCAAGCCATCTGTTGTTCTGACTAGTGTATGTATGTATGTATGTATGTATGTGTGTGTGTAAGTGTGTGTAAGTGTGTGTATGTATGTGCCAGCTAGTTCGGTTGGTTGGTGCCTTTATGCCTGATTGTGTTGGGTCTGTTGCTAACGGGCTCGGCTGCTTGAAGGTGTAATGCGTGTGTGTGTGTGTGTGTGTGTTTGTGAGTACGTACCCATTTTGCTGATGTTTCTTCTTTTGTGTGTGTGTACGTGTGTGCATGTGTACGCGCGTGTGTATGTGTGTGTGTGGTTGTGTGTGTGTGTGTGTGTGTCTGTGTTGCCACACCTGCCGACATGTCAGTAGCCTGCTGATTTTGGAGGCATTTCACGACCCGCCGACAATTGACCTTTTCCTGCCGACAACAGACATGAAAATGTCCCGTTCTGACGTTATGCTTCGTTTAGAACTAAATTAGAACATAATAGAAGTCATGTTCCAGATTTTTGCTCTTACTGGTCATCGTGTTTGTTTTCATTGCTCTCTCCTATGGTGCTAAGTGAAATCATTATTCTGTCTCGGGAGAAAATCTGATAGCTCAATCTGAGTTTCATGCAGACCCGTGATTTTTTAAAGGGGAAGTATACCCTAAAATCAAAATTTCACCAGTTGTAGTCTTCGGGGTGCTGAGTCGAATGGTCTTGGTCCGAGGAAGCTGCGACGCTCCCTTCCTACTTGTATCCCAATCGAACTCGCGCACTTCCACCGAAACATGGTGTTTCTTTCCTTCTGCGTGTGTAGAATCTGCGTGTGTCGCCCGCACCAATACCTGACAACATTGTGGAAATAGTGGCAGTTGAAACAGAGATTGTATGCAAGTCCTCAGCTGCTACTGCATCTCCAAGAAAGACAGCAGGTAAGCTACAATGACAGGGGTGTCACAGGGTGGTTGGGAGTGGTACAAGGGGGGTCCGGGGGTGTCCCCCGGGAGAGAAAAAATTCGGATTTTTCGGCCAACAGGGCACGTTTAAGCGCTCTACAGCCACAAAGCAGGGTTCTCCTAGCACTTATCAGACAACCCCACTCGTACTCCAGCTCCAAAAAATACTTCTCATGGATTTTTTGGTCATACTTCGTAGGTAGCCAAAGCAAAAAGGAAGCCATTGCCCTCGAAAAAATCGCAAAATCCGAAGTACAAGCGTGCTGCTTGCTGCACGTTCTAGCGCCAGCCGCTGTGCAAAAACGTATGTTATTACCACAATGACGATGATATTGCTTTCACAACAATGACCACAACCTAACTGGGTTATCAGTAGGAGCAGTGACACAGCCTTACTGCTCCAAGTAGGATTTAGAACAGAGTGAAGGGAGAGCAGACCGGGCCGGTCTAAGCAAGGAAGTAATCGGCATCAGAGGTGAGCACGCAGCATCGCAGATCGTCTCGAATTGCGCATCACATCAGCGGCAAAATTGCTCCTGTGCATGCAAGTGGATTTCCTTGCACTTCTCAGTTTGGGAAATGCTCGATTATGATAATTCTGTGTGCGAGTGCACTAGCCCTGAACATACATGTAGGTGACCCGTTTGTGGTGTCTCATAGCCTACCTCACGACCTTCTGCTTTCTTTCTGCATCACTTGTATCTTGCAGGTATATCATCTCGTGACGACCACATTTAAGTCTGAATTTGAAGTGCGAAGATGCTTCAGCAACCACATCGTACTTTTCCATTGCTTTCATTGTGCTTCTACTGTGCATGTGTGTAACTTGTGGGGTATATAATTATGTGATGACATTGTATGCTGGCGACACGGTCAGTTTTTGTCCATGCGTGTAACGTACACCTGCATGTTATGCATTGAAAAGGATCTGCCACTTGCGATCCTGGGACAAGTATCAGGTCAGCTTTGTCTTGTGTGGGCTGTACCAGATTGCTGTTCACTTTTCCATCTGTTGGATATGTGACTTTCTGCAAGTCTCTGGTGTATGGTGGCCACTTCTTTGCTTGTCACTTTGTATGATATTACATTCTGTATTCGCTGCTTCCATGGCGTGGTCTGCAAACTGCAATCCTTGGGCAAATGTCATGTTTGCTATGTTGTGCTTTGGCCGTCAGCTTGTCTACACGTTGTAGTTGAATTATTTTGTTCCACAACTGACTTCCTTTTAAAAGTACGGTGGCCACTGCTTTGCATGGCATTTTACATGAAGAATTTCCTGTTTGTGTCGTGTGCATGTGCGTATGTGTGCGTGTACCGTGTGCATCCGCGTGTTTGTGTATCTGTGTGCGGGGTAAGCGAGGTGGGGAGGGCTGGTATGTATCAGTGTGTTATCGCAGTCTCATGCCTACATACAGTACATCGCGCGCGTGTTCATCATGTTTACCTTCGGGGTTGGGGTGGGGAGGGAACGGAAAAAAAACTGAAATTATCCATATAAAATCGCTCTGTGAGCGGTTCTGAAAAACCTTTACTGGCGCTGCCCCGTCGTAAAAGTAAGAAATTAAAACTGGCCCATTGTCCCCCCAAATGTGAACTGATCCACCTAAATCGGGAATGACGGGACCCGAACGCACCAGTAGCACGAGGTCGGGAGGGCACAGGATCACAGCACATCATAGGGTAACACCATCACTAGTACATGGTATCAGTGGCAGTGTAACTTTGCTAGTACACATAGTTACTTCCATCGGATATCCAACATGGGAGTTCATCGACGACCATGGCCTGTGCACCAGCGTCCCCATCTGCATCCACAGGTAGGAACCTGATTGATTGATTGATTTTATTTGGATTTGCGAGACGAAACGAGCAGGAGTGCTCAATAACAGGGTAGCGAATGGTTGAGTTGTGCTATGTGACAATGTAGTGTGTGCGCAGGCCCAATACGATGTAAGGGGATGGGAGGAGAGAAGGCCAGCGGAGAGTCAAACTCAGAAGAGGGGTTTAGGCCATCATCTCCTTCATCCCGGCGGTAACTCCGCCCGTTCAATATCCAACACCAGTCCCCAGGAAAGAACAAGGTACGAGATTTCAAGTTCAAAGCTAAAGCCAATGGCACTGATTTTTGGAATTCTCGAGTATAGTAGAACGAAATAAATAATCGAAGGCGATCATATTCGACACACACGTGACACAGTTTGGGTCGCGCTCGTGTGTCGCGCTTCGCAGCTCGAGCGCGCCCAAGATGAGTCTCGCGAGCGCGACAGGCTAGCCGCTTGCGACAAAAGTTGTCTTTTTTTACGAATTCTGTGACGTCATGTTTTGGAAGAATGTCCCAACAGTCATTCGTAGCTTCGCAGACGATGCGCGGGCGATGCGCAGGCCCAGGCAAGACGCCAGTCATCTTGGGATGACTGGCGTCTTGCGATACCGCAGATCCACGTAGATCTACCTTGGCCACAATCCTGATGTTCGGCTCAGGCAGGCTACAAAGACAGTCGGTGCAAGTCCTGTATTGTTTGTTCTGTGTATGTGCTAAAATTCATGGACAGGAGTCTACGTCAAAACGTGGCCTTCATTCCATATATGGCCATGAAGACCAGGGTGCTGCGGTCAAGCCAGCGCGAGCACGCGTGCATGCTCGTGCAGCACTGTACCAAGTAGCTAGCTAGCTGTGCAAGTGTCAGACTCTCAGGGCTAGGGCCCAGGCCAGTCCGGGATGAGCGAGCTGCCACGCCTTCTGCAACATCTACGCAAGTCCAATGATAACACAGCCCCCGCTGGGCGGGCTGCTGGATCATCATAACAAGCCTGACACATCTGATCATGTAAACACGCTGTTCTGAAGACAGTATGCAGGTGTGTGCGTTCTGTGTGTTTTCTGCGCGTTCTGTGTGCGTTCTCTGTGCGATCTGTGTGCGCTCTGTTCTCTTGTGTATTCCCTGTGCGATCTGTGTGTTCTTCATGTACTGTGCAGAAGACTCCAGATATTGTAGAATTTACGAGTGTCACTATTATTTATCTACTGTGTTTATTCTATATTTTGTTAATCCTTCGTTCTTCCGAGAGCACAGTCAAAGCGTTTACTAGGAGTTAGTTACTAGTACATCACTGATTGTTACAAGCAGTTTACAGGTTAAAAAACAGCTGGTGTTGTTTCTAAGTTGATTATCTCGAATTTGAATTGTTACTTATCTTTGCATTCCTTCAGAAAGTCCGTTCTGCAGCTCTAGTCCGTCCTAGCGTAGGTTCTGCTCTGACAAGGCTTGCCTTCACCCTGTGGGTGCTAACACTCTCTGACAGGACATGGTTGAAATTGCTTTGAGTTCCCATCAGCACAGATCTTCGTTTTCCTTGTTCTTTGAACTTCCTTTGACTTCTACTTTCGAATTTCACTGTTTGTATTATTTTCAGACTTTTCTTGATTTTCCATTATTTTTGTCCACTGCGTGCCAGTACATATAGAGGACTTTCCACACCTTTTTGGCGCCTTCCCGGTGTCCACCCAAAGATCACCCATAAGACAAGTCCGTGTCCTACGGTAAAATGTGCTTGGGTGGCAAAAAGAGAATCAAATCAAATGTGTTGTTCGGTGTACGGTTGAAAATGATGTTGCAGGCCGTCGCAGTGGGGAAGCACTTTTGCTTTTCTTTGATGTGGTGAATAGTTTCGGTAAGTCGCGAGGATTACTAGCCGTAGTTACTCTACTGTTTATTCCAGCCTTGAAGAGGCGTTGCCGCGAGAAGATTGACAGAATCCGTGGGCCGGGTACATTGATCCATATTTACCTATGGACGAAGACCTTTCAGCCAATCCCCCTGCGTTGGGTATCCAGGCCTCTCTAAATATTTAGTGAATGTCCCCAGCACATATGCAAAGGACTCTCTAAAGTCTTACAATAGCCCTGATGGATACAAATGCATGTGTCTCATTGCTGGCTGAGTTGGCACATTATCGTGTCTTGCCCAATCGAAGGAAGAAACAACAACTGTCAACAAAATACGTTTGCAAACGTCAGGCACTCGCGGAGTGTTTTTGCCGAACCTGTCCATCCTTGGGTAGCTGCTGAATTACCTGGAATTGTTCTTGGCGCACACTGCACTTGCATGGTGGGCCTGGGAGAAGCATGTTCCTATGTTGCTGCAGTGCAGTGTTGTTTTGACTGAATTTACGTTGGAGACTGAAATGTGATGTGTGCTGAATGTCAACACCTACACCACTGGGTCACCAGTGGCTGGCACCGTCAATGAACACTACACGAAAATAGTGTACATGGATTTTACTTCAGCTGGGCAGAAATTGGAGCACCCTGCCCATAACCTACAAGTAATCTCACTTCTCTTTCGCTGCCTGACTCTCTCTCTCTCTGTCTCTCTTGCTTTGCATGCCTGTCAGTGTATCCATGTGTGTGTGTGTGTGTGTGTGCGTGTGTGTGCGTGCGTGTGTGGGTTTTTCTTCCTTATCAGTACGAGTATGACAATGTTGACATGCGGTGGCTGGTAGCACGAAAACTGACAAAGTCAAACACGGCCGTCATCATCATTGCTCCTATGTAGCCAAAAAGTTGGTGTAGTGGCGAACTTAGTTGTCCTGATCTTAAAACACGCTGATGAATGCACATCCAATACAGCAATTGTTTTTCCTGGTCGTCCCTCGACCTGGCATTCTCCATAAGCAGTTGCTGATTACCGGTAGAGTGTCCTCCATTACTGCCTTTGCAAGAGTTACACAAGAAGTAAGATCAAGATGATCCTCACCACAAGAAGATCAAGAAGCTGAATACATGTACCTAATTGACCAGAAAGACAGAATATGAGGTATACTAGTATGTGCCGCAGCAGATGAAGAACTGCACAGCGCAGCAACCAAGTGGGAAGCAGAAGAAGATTGCGCAACTAGGTCGATCAGAGTATTTATCCATGACAAAGGAAATACACGTTGTGCAGAACATGAGGCATACACACTGGCATGGAAGAGATGATGAGTTGCACCCAGGGCCAGTACTAGAATAGCTAGCACCACCAGTCATGTAGAGGTACGTGCATAGAGCTGGGTACATTAGTCATTACCATCAGCATCAGCCCTATCAATCATCAAACTCCAGCTATACCTTGCACCCCAACAAACTAAGTAAGTTGATAGTGTTCGGAATCATCTTCGTGTTTCCGCCTTTACTGGTGCTGCCACAAATGAGCTGAACAAGTTGGTTAGTTAGTTCGATACGTACTGGGGTGACAGGGGATAATCATGACTTTTCTCTTCGCCAACGAAGCGATGGAACAATATTCGTGTACTTCGAAGTATTTGCATCAGGAGCGAAGTTCTCGAGTCGTGTGTCCGTCATCCACTGGTTCCGTCGTTCTCCATCGTAGGGAAAACGATAACAACTCAAAGACGATCCAGGTGTGAGAACATCCGATCGCGAGCAGCCCTTTGGTATTCTCAAACTACAGTATGCAAAATGGAACTGCTTTCGAAAAACACTGTTTCCTTCCAGTGCAGTCTTCTTTTTTTGCCACCCAAGCTCCGTTTCAAGTCCGGTGATGAGGTATATTATGCTCCGCAGGCCGCGAAAGAGAGCCCGTTACCTGGACCCCTACTCGCGCGGGTAGAGCGAAACTGAGCACCCTGGGATGCGAGCAGCTTTTTAGTACTCCCGGGTCCAAAATCTCACCACCAGGCCGGGATGATCAAAACGTCTGCCGGGACTGCAGCCTACAAACGTGGATCTGCCGACACTGTGCTGTCGACGACATGTCCGGCAAGGCACCTCCTTGCGTGAAAGCAAGGAACGCTTTTTTTTTTAGAAAGGAAGCTTCTTCTCCAAAATTTAAAATTTTTGAAAATTATTCCTTCTGAAAATATCATCGCGTTCTTGACCTCGAAGCTGACTGCTGAATGCGATTAGGAAAGAAGATTCCTGAAGATACACCAGACTGATTCTGGCAAGCCGTCTGTCGTCTAGATATGCAGTTGTTCGTCATGCATGGTCAGCAATCTTCCTCGTTCGTCCTTTCGTTTTCCTGACCACGATGATGACAAGCAGCTCTCATGCTCAGGTTAGTGCTGTACTTGTATGTCTGGGCACACAACACATCTGAGATTCACCCACTGACGTTATCGAACTGAAGAGTGCAGCAAGGGTTCCTCGGATTCTCTTGATTTCGGAACAAATTTCCTTCACTTTCACCCTCTCAGTCTCTTCCCCATGCCCTCCATGCATGCACAATCGAGTTTGCATTTCAAATGTTGTTTTTACTTTGGCAGTGCGTTCGATAACGTTAGGACAGTCTAAGTTAGGTGTTCTTCTCTTCAGGCTTATTGGACGTGTACAAATTCTAAAAAAATAGCTTCCATATGCTAAACGCAGATCCCTGTGAATACGGTTCTGCTGGTCAATGATGTTTACACCAATCTACACTCTATGCTGTCACAGCATTCACAACTGATCCTCTCTCTCTGAATTAACTATTTGATAAAGCCAATCTTTAAATCGCTGTTGCATAGGATCTCGGGTGGGAAGAAGCGATGAATCGATACACGGCATTGTGAAGAAAAGAAGAACAAATTCACATTGCACGTGAGACTCGGTTAGAAAGACTGAGTTTCTGCATTCATAAGAATGTCACACCCCGGGGATCATGATAAAGAAAACATATGTCGTGAAAATGACTGAAAGAACCAAAGAAGTATTTGATCTTCCAGCCAGCTTAGCCTGGTACTACCATACTAGCAGTGCTACCAAGTACCAGCCCTCCATATTTTCTGTATTTGTACGGAAAATCACTCCTTGTGCGCACTACAGAAATTGAGCAAATGGTATAGAAAATCGGAGAGGATCAATCAGCTGTGTAGAAGCATTGCAAGTGTAAGCTGAGTGATGAATAGTCTTGTACCAAAGCGAGTGCATGCCGTACCACAACAACATGTACATGTAGCACAAAAATAATAATGTCGTGAGTGCAAGTCACACATGTTTTACACTACCAAATGCAGCCACCGACATGCATGTGCGTGTCAAAAAACATTACAGTACAAGTATGCATGCAATGTACACGGCAGTACGCAAAACACTGCAAGATACGGAAAATCAGAAGTCTGAGTACGCAAAACAGACTCAATTGGTGGGCAGCTCTGTACTGGCCTGTACGGAGGGAGTGAATCTCAATGTGTGCAATGCACGCACTTTGGCCGACAGTGAAAACTATGCAAGTCGTGTTGGTTTGCAGGATGAATGTGAGTCCTTTTAGACAAGCGCCTTAGTGGAGTAGCCCACCGAAAGAAGAGTACTTGACACCGCGAAGTGGAGTCTGCGCATACAACAGTGAGGGGGTAAAATTAGCTATGACTGATTCTGCATGTGTTCTGCATGTGTGTCACATTACACTAGCAGATAGGCACACCTGTTGTTCCAAAAAGATGCTTATGTCAGTGTCTGAATATGTCGTGTACCAGGTAATATTGTTGCCAGGATCTCACGGTGAGAGTCAGACTTGAATATGATATCAATAGATTATCAATATCATACATCACCATGTACCACCCAAAGTATAATAGCCGAAGGACCCGTTTGTGTGGTGGTGTATGATTTCGTGAGCAAGATGAAGTGGCTACAGATGTGTCTTATATAACACCCTAAGAAAAGATCATCAACTCTGGGGAAAGTGATTCTGGTAGCATGTTGTATCCAGTGTGGCATGACAAAGACTCCCTCGATTTAGCCTGTGGAGAATCCGTAAATACATAAATACAATACATACAGGCATCGCAACCTTCGGATTATATGCTCTTTTGCTTGCCTCCTGGAGTGTGGTTGTACCTTGGTTCACTGTATTAGAATAATAGTAGACTTTGTTTTTCGAATTCGTTTCTATAACATTAGGTTTCTTTCTGTTGCTGCTATGTCTTTTCATGTGTTTTACAGGATTGCCATCTGTTGATGAATACCACTCTGAGGCACTCTCACGAGCGAAGGTGTTTGAGAATCCATGTCGGAATGATGGTCATGTTGGCCTAAAGGTGCATTACATTGCCGATACTCGCCACCTCCACCCTGGAACATGTTCAATTTCTGTTTCTCGTATGGAAGGACCGAACAGGTTGTTTTCCTGTCTCAGTGGACCACTCAAGACTGAACAGCACTGATGGAAGAAGATTTGCCGTGAATCTCGTTCACATAATCAGCCTGTTTAATTGCTGTACTGAGGTGACTGCTTCATAACAATGACCATGCAGCATTAATTTTGGATAGTATTGCAGTGCCCCTAAAATTGGAGAATATCGAATTTCTCTGATAGCATTGTGATTCATTTGTGAATAAACATCACTACTCTTTTTGAGTAGCATAGCAATGACAGAGTTGGTTTAATGTATGACAAAATGGAGCCGCTTTTTAACTTAAACCTGTACTATAATCAGTACCGCCGGAAGCAGTTTTTGATTGGTCCGGTAGTTTCATGGCGGGTACACACGTCCTCCACGGTAGGAAACGTTTGTTGGTGGCCAACAAGTTGGTCTGGTGATAACCTGACCAACCAGACCGGCGGGCCTGATAATTGTGGGGCTCATGAGCAGCTCAAGTACTTAGTATGGTTTTGGACATGTCCCCAGTTAACCAATGAGAGTAACCGGAAAACAAGGGGGGCTTTAGATACCGGGCTGACTTAACAAGAGGCAGGATAAGCGCGTTACGGGTTGAGCTTGTCGAAAACCAATTGTACTTCATTATGTGTGATGGGGTTTTATGAAGAAATATTTTATGAACCAGTGTACAGAGATGGTGCTTATGACGAAAGGAGAGAGGAGAAGTGTGTGAAAGTCGATAAAGGGCATCCGAAGGAACACATCGATCCTTGTTGTAAAGAATATTAAGTATAAATCTATGGTTGAAACCTACTTCCCCAAGCGTTCTCTGTTAAGTATAAATCTATGGTTGAACCCGACTTCCCCAAGCGTTCTCTGAGGGGACCGAGGTCTACTCTATCAGTTCATGTATTCTGTGAAGTGACATGACCATTCGTGGGGACCTTGCTCATAACTGCAAAAGTCCTCGTCTGATTTTTCCGCATCAATTGAACGTTATACATGTGCATGTAGTGAAAGCCACATGCAAAAGGCTGTTCCATGGCACTCATCTGCCACCAAGCTCTGGGTTCATTGGCTGAAAATATTCTTCGGCACAGTAAAGTCGTGCGCCCAAGAACGTGGAAGCCTACAGAACATCCAACCTGGAATACTAAGAACACCACAGCCCAAAATTAAGAATTGCGGTGTAGGTTTGTGCTGTTGTCAAACACCGGGATTGTTATGTTGCACATGTATCTGAGCTTTACCACTACATACACGTCTGTCTTTACACAATTACCAATCTGCAGACAGCATGCTGTTTCGTCCTTTAGTTACTAATGGACTCATCAATGCAGCACAGAGAAAATGAGGCAGGTGAATGTCCTAGGCTAGAGAGCATCAAATACAGGTATAGAATCATGCCTTGCAGATCTCGTTACGGCCCCTTCGATGCATGTCTGAACATTAGATGGCTGTGTAGCTTCAGTTATCTCAGAATATGTACTATTTATCCAGCAGCAACAACGTTGGTCACACAACTATTCACTATAATGAGTATGCGTTGGAACACTTTACCCCGAGTCATACTATAGCAGTGTATGCCATGCATGGGTTTACCTCACACACTGAATTTCATAATTTGACATCCAAATCACAGAAGAGTGGTGTTCCAAACTTTACATAATTGCACTCTATGTCCTGCGAGCTACAGTAGAATACTTCAATAGAAAATTTCTTATAGCACGTTCTTAGAAACAAATCGTATAGGTTCGAGGCTGTCAACCCAGAAATTTGTGATTTCACAGCCATAGATGTTACCAGTCAGGTCACTGTATACAGTAGGTATGCAGAAGAAAATACAGTCGACCTACCCTTATAACGATATTTGCGTCAGACCGAGAAATATTGTTATAAGGGTAATATTGTTATAGGGGTAACTGGTTCATTTCATACACATACGTCATAATACATGGATTTTGTTCATTTTTTACGCTCTTCATAGCATCGTACATGCACATTATGTGCACAGCAAGGTGCCCACTGGTGCCCCATTGCATTTTGTCCTGTCCCAGCGACTTATCAAGTGAAGCTTGCCCTACCTGGATGGTGGGCTCTACATATTCCCTGGTAGATATTGTTATAAAAATGGAAAATGTCGATTGGTCAGCCCATTTTATATCGTTATAGGGGTAATATCGTTATAGCAATATTGTTATAGAGGTAAGGCATTGTATGCACAAGTCAATGGAGTGATTTGGTTTGGCAGAAAAATATCGTTATAAGGGTAATATCGTTATAGAGGTTATCGTTATAAGGGTAGGTTGACTGTACTAGTAACTCTTTGTGGAAGAGCTGTGCCAAAATGTGTACAGTACAGTAAATTAATAAAAAATGAGAAAAGCAGTGACAAGGCTGTGCATGATGTAGATCTACTCGTACCAGTAAGTACAGTGCACCAGTGAAATTGTTGGTGTAGTACCGGTATACTACTATAATTATGGCATGGCCCATGCCACTACAATCTATTTGCAGTGGGCCGCAGTAGGCCAGTGCAACAGAAAGCATTTCAGAAGCTGTGTGCAATGTTAACATCTATGACATACAAGTAAACTGCCATATAGCACAATCGATTACTCTCAGCCCACATAAGTACAATGTAGGCCAATCAGTAGTATAGATACATAGAGCACACTCTACATCATACATAGTCGGCACCAAATCTATGTTGTCGATGTACTTTGCAATGATGACATGATGGCAAGCGTGCTTGATTCATCATAATATTGCCTTGTACTTGGTTGGAAGTTAGTTGTAAGTTCAGTGGTCGAGGTAAGCAGAGCTACTCCAGCTTTCAGAATCCTGCATGAAAAAGGCAGAAAGCAAATGTAGGTATAATAGTAGCAAGCTGATGTAAAGAGCCTGTCTTTCAATGCAATAATTCTATCCACTGCATGGACAGACCTGGTGCTTCATTCACCTCTGTTTCTTGCTTTCTCAGAAAACCTACTTCCTCCTTCAGCCATCTAGCTCATGATATACATTAATTTTTCTTTATGCCTTTTCAGCCGTGGTCGACTTTCGCCCCTCCTGTTTGATTGGCAATTGCAGTCAACCTGGGGAATACTGACCCTCGATTGTGAATGAGAAAAGTGTCGCTATTCGCATTGTTGTTACTCGTGGGGTTGGAAGTATGCAATCAAATGTTCACTAGATCTGAAGATTGTGTCGTTATTTGCGAGTTGTTTTGTAAACCCGAGGTAGATTATTCACAAGGTTGATTGTACATGCTATGGGATGTACAATAACTAACCAAACAATAATGGTGTAACAATGATTTGAGTCCATATCCAATTGGATGAACCTAGAGTGCATGATCCATTCCAGAAAGGCGACTTCAGTGAGTCTTGAATTGTCAGCAGCATCATACTTCCATCGAGCTTTTTTTCTTTTTCGAAACGACCCTCTCTTTTCAATTCGAACGAAGGTCAACATACGATTATGGCAGGCATGCACGCACTGATCTTCACTGTATACATGTGCATGTATACTGTACTGTAGTCTGTGCAGTCAACTAGTCGTGTTCCACTTGGCTTACGGTAAGTATCACTACAAGTGCATAGTAGCCCCCCCCCCCCCACCCCGGGGAGTGCGCGTGAACGGCAACTGTGAACTGGTAAAAGAATTATTCGACACCTTCGTTCGTTTCGATGGAGAAGGTTCATCTGGCAAATTGAGGCCTTCGTTTCACTCCTAGCCCCAGGAGCGAAATTTTCACTCCTTGGCTGCCTGTTTGAGCCGTCCTTGTGGAAGGGTTGATTTATGCATGCCCGCATATACATGTAGACCTTATTCAATAAACGTCACAATCACGTGAACCAGGGTCCCGGGAACCAGGGAGCGGCAAGAGACCTGCACTCAGTGCACAGTGGACTCGGCGTGGGAACATAGGAGTAGAAAAATACCGGTATTTTACTACTCCCTTGTACGAACTGGGCCTTTCTTGCCACTCGTTTCACGTACGCGTGCCCCAGCTTACAACAAATCCCTGGAGGCGAGTCCAAAAATCACGTTATCGAATAAGGTCTATAGAAACACAGATCACGTAGAACTACCCCATCCGGGGTCACAACTCACAACGTTTTGGGTACTTAGGTCTCATGTCGTCTCCCCAGGTGCTATGAATCCCTGATGCACATGTATCTACATATACAATGTAACCGTAACTCTACCAATATTGCGGACGATGACCCTCCCCCCCCCCCCCCCCCGGCAAACAGAAAGTCGCTATGTCCTGGCCGAGTTTATCTTTTAATTAAATGGTTTTCTCGGTTGGGATTTCATACCTGACAACCATCCCGATTTGGCCGGGACCGTCCCGATATCGAGGGCGGTAATAGGCACCCAAAAGTGCACTAGTTCCATGCCTCACCGCGAGCTTCTTTTGTATACATTTTCATGCCTAGGTATGTCATTGGATCTCAGGTTTGCAAAGGTTGGCAGGTATGGGATTTGTAGAGTGACCAGTTTTGACTATTGCCACCTGCTGTGCAGAAGTGTCATTCCTACATCCTGGCTGCAAACGTACCCCCCCCCCCCCCCCCACACACACACCACCACCAACAATGTTCGATCCTATTTACAGGACCTCACTCTATATGAAAGTGTAGCAGAGGCACTGCCAAAGTATAAAAAACAGCAATTGAAATGCAAGCTACATTGTGCATGCATGGAGGGCATGGGGAAGAGACTGAGAGGGTGAAAGTGAAGGAAATTTGTTCCGAAATCAAGAGAATCCGAGGAACCCTTGCTGCATTCTTCAGTTCGATAACGTCAGTGGGTGAATCTCAGATGTGTTGTGTGCCCAGACATACAAGTACAGCACTAACCTGAGCATGAGAGCTGCTTGTCATCATCGTGGTCAGGAAAACGAAAGGACGAACGAGGAAGATTGCTGACCATGCATGACGAACAACTGCATATCTAGACGACAGACGGCTTGCCAGAATCAGTCTGGTGTATCTTCAGGAATCTTCTTTCCTAATTGCATTCAGCAGTCAGCTTCGAGGTCAAGAACGCGATGATATTTTCAGAAGGAATAATTTTCAAAAATTTTAAATTTTGGAGAAGAAGCTTCCTTTCTAAAAAAAAAAGCGTTCCTTGCTTTCACGCAAGGAGGTGCCTTGCCGGACATGTCGTCGACAGCACAGTGTCGGCAGATCCACGTTTGTAGGCTGCAGACCCGGCAGACGTTTTGATCATCCCGGCCTGGTGGTGAGATTTTGGACCCGGGAGTACTAAAAAGCTGCTCGCATCCCAGGGTGCTCAGTTT